ACACGTTGTCGGTATAGGGTGCATGAGAACCCAAACTTAAGCAAGTTGGTTCTCGATGGTTCCCGATGATGATACTGATGATGACATGTGGCTTTGCCCTTTGTAACGGGTGAACACATATAGTGTGTTCTAGCCAAGGAACGCAGGAAAAAAAAATATCGCGGATGCACAACACGGGCGCCCTTGTTGTGCATCTTCTTTTCCTAGTCCTCGTCCCTCAGTGCACTTTTAAAATCAAGATGAGTCGGTATAGGGTTTCTCTTCGAAAGAGTTTCAGGCACCGGCGTAGCTCTGTGAGAGAAAGTTGACTGCCACGCAGAAGGCTTCCATGCGATGGATTTCCAAGTGAACGAAAAAAAATTATAATATCGCTAATTTATTCGCATCTATCTCGATTTTTCGCTATTGATCAACGATGTCACCGATAACACCTGCACCGACACTGCAACTTCTGCGACACCGGCTCTTCAACGCTTACTACATTAACAGAAGTGTCGTAGGCACGGGGTGCCCCCTCACCCCTCCCAAAAAGGAAGAATTCTGCCTGCGCCCTTGATTAATAGGCATATAATAGGGAGGTGGGTGTCATAGCGTATATGCTATGAAGACACGAGCTGCATTTCATTTTCTCGTTGCTTTTCCTCTCTCCTATTTATTTCGAGAAAAGAAAAAAAAATCAGCGGGTTTTCACGGCGCAGTGCTGCGGGTGCATGCTCTTATACAGTATTAGGTACCAGGTGCGCTCTTCTGCCAAAATTTTCAGATTGTTTAGGGGAAGCGGAGAGAAGCACACACGCTACAATGGATAGTTTCTTTTTGCATATATTCGACTTGATGTAAGCGTGAACGCCATTTATGAATATTCACGAACCCATATCTGCTGCGTTATTTCACTGGCTACGGCGTTTTGCCGTTGAGATTGATTCGATCACGGCAGCCGTATTTTCCCTGTGTACGCGTCGTGCTTCAGACTGCGGTTACCCACACGCCACGCCCGAGAATCGAATTTGAACGTTCCAATCACGGTATCTCACTCGTGTGCGAAGTTTAGTCGTGCGAGCGCTCTCTTTTAAAACGAATGAAACCGACAGACAGCTATAAGCCGAGGAACGCACGGGGAACATCAACTGGGATTTCTTAGCTTAATTTAAACGGTTCTCACTTAAATTGAAAAAAAAGTAATGTGGACGGAAAATAATCCTTTGCGTCTTCGAGATTCGAACCCACGACCTTCGAAATTACGCATCCGATGCTCTATCATATAAGCTCCAAAGGAGGAAGTTCGCTTGTTAACTTTTTTGTAGGGTGTTTATGAGTGTTTATCACCAGGGGTGTTTATGAGTGTTTATTACCCGATGATGATACTGATGATGACATGTGGCTTTGCCCTTTGTAATGGGTGAACACACATATAGTGTGTTCTAGCCAAGGAACGGAGGAAAAAAATATATTGGGAGTGTTAGCGCTGCTCCCAGCATAGGCGGCGAGTGTCCAACACTGTTTTTTCGTTCTCTTTGCGGATGTGCGTTGTCCTCTCTCATACAAATAAGGCAAACTCTCCGGCCAAGTTATAGTCTCCTTATTGGCGCCCCGAGTAGCATTCGCCACTTCGCCGGATGGCGATGGTTGGTGGCCAGCAGAGTGATTTCTTCGCGCAGGGAGCGTGCCTCTTGCTCAACTGCGGAGTTGAAGAAAAGGGAGGGTTCAGCAAAACAGGCAGCGAATTCTGCGGTCCCGAGGGTATCTTCGCGTGTATACTGCCAGTTCCCATGGCAGCCACGGCCCGCAATCAGGGCCGAACGTTCTTCGGCTTCCGGTTGCGGTGTCGTCGGAGCGTCGGGCCGTAATCCAATCAGAGTCGCCAGGACGCTGTTGGTTCTGCTGTTGTCGGACGGCTCCTCCGCGCACCAACTATGTCTCGTCGGCGGCCCGTGCCGCGCGCAGTCGGGTCAGATCGCGTCACTCGGCGAGCTCCCACTTCGAACACCGTGTCATCGCTGGGTCGAGCAGGAGTGGTTGCCGCGGATGCGGAGTTATTACTGACAGCGCCCTCCTCTTGTGGAATACAGATATGAGCGATAATGCAAAAGACAACGCGGGGACGAGCAAAAAGTGGAAAGCGAGAAGCAAAATCGTTAGTAATCTTATTTAGCGCGTTCGAGGCAGATGAGCCACGATTACATGTACTGTTCGGATTTGTTTTTTTTTTGTTTTTTTTGCCGTTTTCCGACAGCGCTGTGAAATACGAACAGCAGCGGGGGCATAGGAGAACAATGCGTTATGCATTGTATCAGACTTTCCTTGCAGAAAAATAAGCTGTGCTTATAGTTTTCTAGGGGCGAAAGATACGTCTCCGAACCTGCTGATAAGGATAAGTCAAACTTGGTCGTGTGCATGCGCTGCAAAGCAAAACTAAAGCCTAAATATGATTATATATGTACTTATCGATATTTTGTGCGAGGATAGCTTCCCTTTCCGATCCGCCACCCCCCCCCCCTCTAATATATGTATATGTAGGTATACAGGATAGCAAAATGGGGAGTCTCATTATAAGTAGCTTTAATATAATAATACCTGAGTTTTTACGTCTCGCGTCCGCTATATAATTATAAGAGACGCCGTATTGTGAAGGCCTCCGGAAAGTTCGACCATCTGGTCTTCTTTAACGTGCACCGCGGCCGGAACCGAACCCGCGACCTTCAGTACAGCACCGTATCCACTGCTCCACAGAGTTGGAGGGCAGCTGTAAGCGTTGCATGCTGCTCCTCCGAGCTGCACCATGCTCGTATACCTTGTTGTTTCGTCAGAAATCGCGCATGGTAATACCCCGGTACCGAAAATGGTATGATGATCTATAGATGGGGCCCTAGAAGACATGTTTCCGGAATATGCTCCCCTCATATACATCAAAATGCGTCACTTGCTTTGTTTGTCCAGAACACACATGTTCCGCTTGGCCGCTTGGCTTATCATTATTCTTGATGCTTACTCGCTCAGAAACAGTGCCTGTCAGCAGTGTTTACACGGCTCGACGACCAGCCGCTTTCCGAAAAATTAATTTTGCAACGCCCAAAAGCGACGAAGGCCCTCCTGAAGTTTCTGCGATAGACCCGACCCACCTCGGCGAACGATCGTGACATTCCAGTGTGCGTGTGCGTTTCCGCTTCCCTCCCCCTCTCTCGTTCCCTCTTCGTTACTTTCCTGTCTCCGATTCCCCTTCCCCAGTGCAGGGTAGCAAACTAGATACTTGCTTTCCGGTTAACCTCCCTGCCTTTCTTCATATACCTTATGTCTCCGATACTTACTTACTGGCGCTTCGCGTATTATACGTGTTTCAATGTCGTATAAGGCGGTTGAAGGATAGTCTTTCGGTGTCAGACGTCGACGACAAGTGCATACGCGCCGGCGTTAATAAGTAAAGCAGGCTTTCCTCCCCTCTAACGACCGACCTGTCGCGAATTTCTCTATCCGTCACAATTATCCGACTGCGTAATTGTGACGGATGATGTCTGCTTCCAGTTGCACCTCTTATTAGCGGGCGTTGTCGAGTTGGCACATTGACCTCCCCGAGGAAGATAGCCGGCTGTCACCGCACACTTCGCCCGTCTAGTCGCGCCGCGTAAAACATGCACCGTAATAGAGAAACCGACAGAACAACATGTCGCGACAGAGCTGGTTGTGCGGTACGTACAGGTGTTATAAATATCTTCTCCTATACGCGGATTCCAGGCTATATATGCGTGGCGATTTATTTTTAGGCTATATTAAGCCAAGACGAGTTGTGAAATGCGCATTACAATATTGAACTACAGTGCGGCGTTTTGCAGTAATACTGCTTCGGTGAAGATGACATTGTTTTCGCTATACGGTATTCGAGCATACCAAGTTCCAGAAAACTTTGTGGAGTATATGTAGTCAAAATACGAAAAAAAAAAACCCTGAGATTCATGACGTCACCATCGGAGATTTCGACGGGAATTTTAAAAGCGATACTTTTACAGCTGATTTTTCTATGTATTAATTAATGTTGGTGAACCCAACGGCACTATAGTTTTCATAGTATCTTTGCTTATTGGTCTAAACTGATTTATTGTTTCACTTTAGCGCCCATTTAAGCAATAGAAAGTGAAAACAGGCAACAATGGCGAGAATGGAACGTTGTCTTCTGCATATTCGCGCTTAACAACAAAAACAAAACAAAAATAAGGAGAAGGAGAGGGTTGATGGCGCTCATGATGAGTGCTGTTGATGGTGCCATTATTTTGAGCACCCTCCTTGCGCACTCACGATCTAAGCTTTGAACGAGAAGACACGGTAATGGCGGGTTAATGCGGTGCCTTAATTGTCAGCTGCGTAGCAGTAAACAACCACAAAATGTTTTCTTTACACCGCTTCATGTTTTGTCGTAGCCACCCGATGTACAGCTAGATTAGAGAAATGACGTCTGTAATTACGAGAAATGGATGAAGCATGCGCGATGTACTCTTCTCTGCCCTTGCCTGCGTCAGCACGCCACGCGCCGGGTCACACGCTATCCGTACGGCAAAATGCAGCAGCTCCGCAAGTCGCCGTAGTCTTCGCAAAGTCATGGTGCTACATTCTGCCATCCGTTGTCGCTGTCTTTGAGCTATTTGCGCACTGAGCCAGGTCGACAACAAACAGCCCTTCCACAGAGAACGGAATCGAAACGCGAGCCACTCTGCGGTACTATATAGTCGTTGCGGTTTCTTCGAGAAACCGTATACTGTATGCAAAATTGTGACTGCACAGAAAACGCTGGTGTGTAGTCATGACCTTGTTTGGCTTATTTTGTGACCAACTGTCGCCACAGAGTCTTCTCTCTCATTCTTTCGCCCCCCTTCCCAAGTACTGCGTAAACCGTAGATTTCTTCTGGTTAACCTCCCTGTCTTTCTCGTATACCTTTCTTTATTTGCAATGTTAGGCCAGACCTGGATAGCGGTCCACTGAACAACGCCCATCTCTCTCTGCTTCGTCGCAGGGCTTCTTGGAGCGTTTCGGCTACATGGGCGACACGAGCCGCAACGCGGTGCTTCCCTCGGACAACCTGCGCACCGAGCAGGGCTTCCGGGCGGCGCTGCGGCGCATGCAGCGCTTCGCGGGACTGCGGCCCACCGGACAGCTGGACGCCGAGACGATGGCCATGATGAAGAGGCCCCGCTGCGGAGTTCCCGACGTCATCGGGCACGCCGAGCGCGTCAGGCGCTACGCGCTACAGGGCTCCAAGTGGGACAAGACAGACCTCACGTGGAGGTGAGTCCACGGTTTCAACTCCTCGCTGTATAGACTGCATCGACGAGGTGCCCGGACGCAGATACTCCGCGTTTACCTTTCGTTCAAAGCGCTTTCCGTATCGTTGCCCTTCGTGTCCTCGTCGCCTAATTTCGCCGAGATGGTCGCCACAGATATATGTGGCCATCCGCGAGGTAATTCATTGAGTATGGACGCATACAGTACTTGAAGTAATAGATCTCGCGCTTAAACGAGGGCCATATTATCTGCTCTCTCAAGAAGAGGCTGAGCCACCCGATGTAGTCCTGGAAACTGGCCATTGTCTAAGGTAACAGTGTATTCCAGGGCACTGCCACCCTACATAGAAAGCGAGCAAGCCGATAAAGAGGCAGAGATGTCCCACGTCAATAACTTCACACTATTCGCCTATTATGTTTTAACGGCCAGGACACTAACGCCGTTGTGTATACACTCCGCGAAACTATACGGCAGCAAAGTGGCTTTTATGGAGTATATCGTCCATTGCCGCCTTCATGAACTTGACCCGGACGTGCACGTCAAAATACCACCCACCATGAAAATAAGTTAAAGTACAAGTTTACCGAAGAGATTACGACTAGATGTGAGGTTCAGTCGTTGCTAGAGGTACATCGTATCGCCTTTGCGGACAGGGCGTCGGTAGAAATTTTTTTGGAGAGGACACTTTTTGTTATGAAAAGGGGGCTGGGCAGGTAGATGTGATAGAGTGTCATTTTGTGCCATGTATGCCATGACGAAAAAAAAAAGGGGGAGTTGGGGGCACGGACCCGGTGTGCCACCTCCTGGCTACGTCATTGGACAGTACGCGTTGCGGTGTATATGACCCTCCTGAGACCGCTGACTGAACATCTCTTGAGCACCTGCCCGCGATTTAGCGTAGAAAGAAAATTGACGGCCATCTGTTTGTTTAAGTGTGTCAAGCAGCAATAATTGCAAAGAAGTTCTGATGTGACCTCCACCTTTTCATAATCAGTCTATATATTCCGAAAGCTCTGAACAAGTTTTTGCGGGAGACAGAGCTAGACAAGAAACGGTAAGTGGTTTCTGGACATTCAAGGCTTAGTTTCATCACCATCTTCATCATAATCAACACCACCCATATGGCAAAGCTGAGCAGTGGGTAATAAACTTGATTGAAAGCGATTGCTCAGCTTCAGTCGCAATAAATTTCTCTGTCTTGCTTTGCGCAACCTATGGTGTCGCGGAGGTACGTGTGAATCCAAATCGAACGTTCTGACAAACTTTTGAGAGACCGAGTCATGAACGTTCGGACAGAAGTAGTTAATCTAAAAACAGTCTTTGCTTTTTGGAACTGCCTCAAAGCCTTTGCACTGGGAGATAAACAGTCTAGCTGCGTTTACAAAAAAAAAAAGATAGCGACTGAAGATACTGTGAGCGATACTGTGGGAGAGCGGTAAGCTATCTCTATCTTCCACTTCCACTTGGATCTTAGCCAAAAGTTCGCAAAGAAATCTACATATACTCCTGCCGGCGTGCTTCACTCTCGGGAGTTAGCAAAGAAATAGCAAAGACAGCTAATTTAGTTAGCAATGACACAGAGATCCACCTAATGGCTGAAGCCGGTGGGCGGGCAGGCGTTGTTTTCTTTGCTATTTTTGCTGTCGGATTAGTATTGTTTATTTGTTTTTTCACTGGCGTCAGTAGCTGGCTTAGTCGCTGCGAATTGTGCCTTATAGCAAAGTCAGTATTGAACTACACTAGCATGTAAAAACATAGAGAACAACGCATATCTAAAGAAAAAAGCCGCGCTCACCCCACAAAATCCCCAAAACCTTCGTGCGTCGAAGATGCGGGGACCAGAATGGCAAACAGGAGACCCGCTATAGAAGCATGCGTCGACGGCTTTTATTATGCGACCAAGCCTGCCAGCGGTGTAAATAAAGTGGCAACGGCGGTTCGGACGTCAACTAGAGTAAGGCGAGTCACGGCGCTGTTGCTGATAAAAACAAAAGCGAAGTTACCCAGAAGGAGATCGCGAGAAAGAGAGCAGTTGGACCGCGTACACACACATCTCCGCTTACCAAAAGCAACAACGGCTTCAGAGAAAACACGGTGGGAATTCTTTCGCAGGGTTGGAGGAGGTAGACGTCCTGCTCGATTCTGTCCGCAAAGCGTCTGGAAAGGGCGTACTTATGGGAGTATGTCGCGAAAGATTAAAAGCATGTCCGTGTTTGGGGTGCACAAAGAAGGGCGTTTCCAAAAGAGGCGGCTGCGGTTTTCGGAGCCACGCCGAGCGTAGCCGCTCACATCTAGCGAACAAAGCCCGAGAACAACCCCACGAAGTTTCTCCGAGTGTCATACGCACAAAACTGAAATAACGAGAGGAATAAAAATCGGGACACGCTCGAGGAATAGAGATGCGTCCAATGCGGAGCGGATGTGGCGCATGTTACGTCCATGAAAAAAAGCAAGAAACAGAGGAGACAAGCTAGGGTGAGAGTTATGACAGCGGCGTCGCGCATCGCACCCGAAGAGTCAGTGCGCGCATCATTCTCAAGTCCGACCGCGGCGCCTTGGGTGTCGTCGTGTTGGCTCTCCTCGTGAAGGATTTCGGGCGGCATCACCTGTCTGCCACGCTGTCCACCGACAAAGTGGGGAGTATGGGGGCTGTAAGTCGTTGTTTGTTGGCGCCGAGGGTTAAAGAAGGTGGGGGGCGTGTCCCGCGCATTTGTCAGGGGGAATTGCGCGAAGACAAGAAGACCTCTTCTCGTCTGTTCCACAAGTCGCCCGCTGCGGCAGAAACAGTGACAAACCCTGCTGGGCCCCGCCGGGGGAGAATTGAGAAGAACGACCGAGTAAAAGTATAGAGGGAGAGGTGGGGATTGTGCGCCGAGCTTACGCGCGAGGCGCCTTCCCTTGAGTGATGGCTCCGAGGCGTGCGGGGAAGCCGACGGGCGCGGAAACAGCGTTGGCCGCCTACAACAGCGTTGCCACCAACGCCAGCAGGGAGGGAAGGGAGAATGGGGCACAGAGCCGTGGCCGCGGCAGCGGGATACCGCGTTGCTCAGGCGAATCCACCGGGCTGGACGGAATCGGTCAGCCCGAGCGAAAGACGTTTGCCGTGCGGTGGCCGGGCCGTCCTTTCGGAGGCTGCGATCGGCGTCCTTGGTCTCGGCTCTGTCTCCCCGGCGTCATCCGTGCGTTCCGCGGCGTCTTTGTTTGCTCTCTGTTGTCGGCACATGCCGAAGCCTACGGGCGCTAGCCGCGGCATCATTCATTACGAAGGAACGGCAGCAACAAAGACGGGCCGGATTCTCCCGCCAGCTGAGGTCCACTGCTCACTCAGGTCTTCAGTAAACAAAAGAAACGCCAGCCAAGCGCCTCGGTGCGGAGAAGCGGAAGCAATGATCTCGCTTGATACCCTAGAGCTGAAAGCAAGGAAAGATAGCAACTTGAAAGAAAAAGAAAAAACACGGTTATCCGAAATCGGGAAAGACGCCACTGGCTTTCCCGGGTGTAGCGGCATATTAGGCAGGGATCGCGACCAGTCTATAGTTGCCTAATAAATTGGGCTCTAGCTTCCACCTATATTTTGGGCTGAGCTGGCCGGTTCGCTGGCGAACCGGGCCTGTCATCGGAGTCCCGGCTGCGTGAGCCTCGGAGACGCACGACTTGCGACGCCGTATACTAGGCCTTGTGCCTGCGCAGTATGCCAGAACATGCGCAGCCCGGGGTCTTCGAGAGTGTGGCGAATCCTCTAGCAGCAGATCTCTTCTAAGCTTTCCGCGCGTATACTGCAACTAGTAGTAGTAATGAATCATCACTTTCGGCTAGTAACTACCAAGATGCGAAGCGTGTCGTTTTTCATGTGGATGCCTACCCTTGTTTACGACTGTTGTGGATGTCTAAGGAGACGTTTGCGTCGGCGAGAAGTGCCAGCTGCAACAGCATCATTAAAAAATTGCATCAGTATCATTAAGCATTTTTTTTCCTTCACAAAGAAAAGAATCACAGCATATCCACGGTGTGAATGATGATGAGTGGGGTGAAGCGCTGAAGGGTTATATATACAAATACTGTATATATTTATACAAGACATTCTACCATTCGTAAGTGGTAGCTATACGTCGCTTCCGTTCCCCCTTCTTTATAATGACTTTATGGTCGGTGAAATGGTCGATCGGTGATGGGGCATAGTGGGATGTTTGCAAGAAGAAGTATGGGCAGTTTGCAAAGGTGGAACTATAGGTGGCTAAGTACAAACAAGGAATGGACACTGTGAGACAATCTATGGTTCTATAACGCGCACCTGGATCCAAGTACACGACCATCTTGCATTTCATATTGGCTACTTCTCAACAGTATTTGCTTCATGGTCAGTGAAGTGATTGATCGGTGGTGGGGCGTAGTGGGATGTTTGCAAGGACGAAGTATAGTAGGCAGCTGGCAAAGGTGGAACTATAGGCGGTCACGTACGTACGTACATACGTACATACATACATACATACGTACATACATACATACATACATACATACATACATACATACATACATACATACATACATACATACATACATACATACATACATACATACATACATACTGTTAAAGTTGGGAAGGAAGATGTTGCAGGTGATGGCATCCGGATGGAGGAACTGAACGCTGACAAGAGGATACGAGAAACATAACAGAAGTTTATGACATTATTTACACTTATTTACAGAAAAGAAGGGATAGTGGTTTAACAAACCACGAGCGTGGTGGTTGAACACTACATAGTTCAGAGCCAGGTTCAGAGAGCGCAATGTCCAGCACTCTCCGCGTCGTTTTATGCCCTGTCGGGCTCCTCCTCTCAGAGTCGTACACCAATCACGCACACACAGGTGAGGGAGGCGAGCATACAAGGTCCACGTGAACACTGCACGGTGGTGGCGCCAGCAGGGCTGGTCCTCGTCGTGGGTGTGCCGTTAGACGAGCGTTCCCACGATCCTGGCCGCATACTTCAAAGGGCCCACTGCAC